GTGTGACAATCTTTCTTCGATGCAAGGATCCATGATTATTGGAGCTCAGTTTCTTTTTGAATGTATGAAAAATATGGTTTTGGGCCTCTAAGGTTTTTCCTAGTTTATTTTAGTTCTTCATTTATATTTATTTATGACATTGAATGTGCTAATATATGCATTTTGCAGATAAGCCTGTACAGCATGAAGAAAAGCAGCTTGCCACTTGGGGAACTGAGGTCCCTGATGATCTTGTTCTAGATAAAAAGTTGCTGGCAGAAGCACTGAAGAAGGTAGATTAGTGGCTCTTACTTTTGTTTACTTGTGTGCTTTTTGTTAATTCATTGATGCTAAAACTAACTTTCTGTTTGTACAGGAGGATGAACGAAAGAAGGAAGAGAGGGATGAAAGAAAGAGAAAATACAATGTCAAATGGGATGATGAGGTACTTAATTCACAAATCAATTCTTAATTGATGCACTAAAATATGTTTTCAGAATCACAAGATCCTAAAGCTTCATAGGAACCTGAACCAATAAAAATAAATGAAAAATGAATACCAACTGACTACACTGAGTTATATGGTAAATTGTGGTCCCTGGCTAGACTAGTACCAGATGATGGATGGTACATATACCCGTCCCGCTAGCATTGTTGAACATTAACGCCATGGCAAGCGGAAGCTGTGATCTTTTTATTCGTAGGTGAAGTTTTGCTGCAAACACATGATCGGAAGGAAATCCTTTAATTATGACAATATTGTTGATTTTTGTGGGGAGGTGGATGGGAAGTCTAATTCTCTTATGATTTTATGTCCATGCAGGTTACCGTGGAAGATATGGAGGCCTATCGAATGAAGAAGATCCATCATGATGACCCAATGAAAGATTTCCTCCACTAATTATAATATTATTATTATCCTATAGGGTCCTCCTGTGTGTATGTATATATACTGAGATTGTTGGACTAGTTGCGATTGGGTTGACTAGGAGTCCCCTGACATGACTTGTATGGCTGGATGTTTTACCAACCGTTGAAATGACAGATATATTTCATCTCTTTTTTTTTAGTTAATTAAACCTATATAAAAATGATTCGGTTTGTAATCCTAAATTAAATTTTTTTCGTGCCAGCTGTGTATGTAGGCCTAAAATTGGACCGGATGGGGAACATGACCGCTAACTGGTTTGACTGCCGAACCGATTTCCCGGTTCGATCAGGTGTCATCAATCAGCACGATATCATAATTCTATTTATTTTTTAAAAATTTAAAAAATAAAAGGTAAATTATTATTAAAAATTAAAAAAATAATGGTTGTTACCAAAGTGAGTTTGAACTGATTGATTGGTTTGAGTGGTGTTGGATTTCCAATCAATGTAGTCTTTTCTTTCCATAGGAAGATTTGGGAACAAAATAAAAGATGTAAAATATAATATCATTTTCTTTCTAGTGTCATGGTATGATTTCTGTGCTAATCCACCACCATGGCAAGCTTGTCGCTAATGACGTTGAATGCTTTGTCGTGGAGTCAAAAAATGGTAGTTTGTCGTCTCAGTAAATATAAGAAGAAAATGTACTATAAACTTATTTCAGTAATAAAATAATTAATTATGGTAAGATTACTTCTTGAAGAAAGAGTCTCTTCTACTGTTCCTTTCTGATGACACTAACAAATTCTCCTTAACCTACTATCGTTATCCATGTTGGAATTCAGATAAAATTGTGACTCAAAATATGTAACGTCAAACTCAATAATAGGCAACTATTTATATATTATGTATCCTAACACTCTTGCTGGCTATATAACACACACGATAGACATAGAAACAACAACGCGTACATCTTTTCAGATGTATTCCGTGACACCAAGAATGTCTCAGGTTGAATTGATTCGTTCATTGATGGATTGGGTTTATGTAGCATCAACATCATCTGGAACACTTACAAGCAACTTCCTTTCCCTTTAAATCTGTAATATACCAACATTCTTTTTCTTCGAAGAATCATATGGCGTGATTTACTGAGTTATACATATGCCTTCCACAGCTTTATGATTTCCACAGTAGCATCATCATTTTATTTTATCTCTATCCTTGTTCTTTTTATAGTCTGATGAGCTGCTTAATTATTTTCATGAAAATAATGTGAAATAGTGTGAAAAGTAAATTGTTATATAATTGGTTTGATGTTGACTATTTGACATAGAATGTGACTAGCATGCTAGATAAAAACTTTTGATCATAATTTTATTTTTTCTTTTTATAAAAGATAAATGAGGAAGGCGGAATTATATACCAAACATCTTCAACCTTATTAATTTATGCCAAGAAAGATTGATATGTCGATATTAGAAAACCTCGAGGAGGAGTTAATGATGTTGATATAGATAGTTGTTGATCCCTTTTGGGCATAGTAGCATCATGCTCACTAAATATCTAATAACAACAGTGAACTCGTTTGGTCCTTTAGCCACATTATGCATGAGATACCTTCGATTCATTTGCACCGAGGACTGGTTTTCATCCTCCATAAGAACTCATATGGGCATGCACAATGGTAAACAAGTGGTTCGTAGTCCAGTCTTCTAAGGCATTTTAAGTTCATCTTGATTTCTATAAGAGAAAGAAAGAAGAAGAGAGTGTGAGGGAAGCTTTGTAAAAAGGGGGTATAAAGGTTCTCTCCTAAGCGTACAAAAGGAGAATAGAGTTATAAGAAGGAGGTTGATCTTCGTCTATTAAAGAAAGATCGTTAGTGTATGCCAGTGGCCTCGACGAATGAGGAATCAGTGGAGTGAATGTAGGTCACGATGATCGAACCACTATAACTTGGGTTGCATTTACTTCTTGCAATTTACATTTACTGCACACTGCCCTTCTTTACTTGCTTTATATCCACTACACTCTTCCATATGCTTTCAAGTTAATATCTTCCGAAATAGGTTTAATCGCAATGAGATTTTCAAACTGACGTAATTTTTACCGCTGCACTAATTCACACCCCCCCTAGTGTCGACTTGTTCCTAATAGGTCTCATAGCTACTCATGTGGGGACACTAAGGATACAATATAAGTGCTCATTAGAGAATGAGTTCACTAATTGATTTGCTTATAAAATGCTAGATGGTTGATAATACCTTATTGTCAGACAACGATTCCGTCATCCCAGTGGTGTATCTAGTCTTTAGACTTGAAACACCAAGAATATCTTGTATGAGTACTCTACTCTTTGATACCGGAGTAATAGGTTTGGAAGTTCTAAATCTAGTATAGCCAGTTATCGAGAGTGGCAACCAACCTTACGAGGGTTATTAAGTATCGATAGAGGATCATCTACATTTAGTATTATAAAAGGAATATCTCATGTATTTTTGCTTAGACAACTCCTTAGCCAGGGTCATTTGGATTGAGAGAAAAAGAGTTCTCCGGGAGAATCCGATTAGAGCGAGACTCGAGTAGAAATTGTATGAGCCTAATAACACCATACCCAGTATATATTCTCTGGGATATTAGATGTATGAGGAACTATAGGTATGTTGGGGATAAAGGAGCAAGAAAACGATAAAAATATAATACTATGAAGCAATTAAAAAAAATCTTTTCGATCAAGAAAACAATTGTAGTATTTAAATAAAAGGTAAGATAAGAACACTTATAAAATATTCCCAACTGCACACTCACCCTCTTGCTTCATGAACTATGGTCTTATTTATAGGACCTAGTGGTAACTACCTCACTCCCTATGTCACCCATGATTGAGGTAGTTATAGGAACTACCCTATAACTTTTAGATCATGGGCCACTTCTTGAAACATGCCTAAAATTATCCTGAACATGATAACTATCTAGATAACTATCATGAATCAATTCTCAACACTCCTCTTTGATTGATAATTACATACATCGATTTACGACATGAAATAAGTATGCTGATGACGAATCTATGTAGGTAGGAGCTCAAAATCAAAGAGCTGTATCTTCCACAGCTTGGAAACAAACAAGGTGGTCATTAATGGATGTGTCAACTCCAACGAAAAGACCATGAGAACCAATTATCCTAGGAAAAGAAAACAGAAACCAAGAATCACTATCGTTCTTATTGATCTTCTTCGACTCAAGGAATTTCTTGTGCAGCAGACCAAGAAAATTTATGGGAGGGAAACAGTAGCGGTTGCAGGAAACAAAGCTTGAGATCGGAGGAGAGGAAAGCAAACAAAAGGGGAATCCAGCATTCATGTTCCGAGAAATCCTTCATCCATCCTGACATGGCACAGTAAAATATCTTTCTTCTCTCGGTCTGTCTTCAGTTCCGACACCATTAAATGAGAGAAGCTTCACCGCTACTACAGCTCGGAAGGCGTTTGGATCCTTTACATCATTTTGTTTGTCAGCGAAAGCAGAGATGTTGTGAGCATAAACAATAGGGTTTAGGGTTTATGTGATAGTTGGCAGAGAGAATACTTATATCATCTTCATATAATTCGGGTGCCATCGGAGATCACCAAAAGAAATCCAGTGGACTGTATCACTCACACACCCCTGAAACATGGTAGGCTGATGATGATGATGATGATGATGATTCGGACCCTCACGAACTGGCCTTGTCGATCATCGTTCTTCGACAGGTTACATCATCCCTGAAATTTCCGATGGTGGTTTCCAAAAGCCGACCTCAGGCGGCCCCCCAGCGAATATGATTCTTTTGCTCCTTCCACCGCCTATACAAGTCTTTGGAATTTGTAGGATCGGTGGGTAAGAACAGTGCAAACGTCAAAGCGTGATCAACTGTTCCTGTGGACGCAACCAGCCGAATCGGGAGCATATATTATGGGGAACCGAAGCATCATGATCCGTCCCTGAATTCCACGTTGAGAAGCAGTGGGGAGTTGGTGCGTTTAGAGGAGGAAGATGGAGATTAGTGAGGAAATAGAGAGATGTTAATGGGATGATTCCATAATGAAGATAAGTTCGTTTCATCCCCAATATCACAGCCCCCACCAGTGATTACTTTTTATCTTGTCACATCACCTTTCGTCCCACTGTCAAGCTTTGTCTCCATTGACACAGAAGCCCTAGCTGTGCACCGATGCACTTTCTCTCTCACTCATTCAGCTCGTTGATTTTTCTCATTGGTGTAGGCAAGACCTGCCCAGAAATTGAGCAGGATTCTCGATCTCCTTTTATTAGGCCGAGCAAGAGTTCCACGGGCTTTGGGACTCCCCTCTTGTGTACAGAAGAAACATGTAGGCTTTCGGAATCTTTTCTCTCGTAGCCAGACATCAGCCACTGGAAACAGTAAGCTTCTCTTACCTCTCGTCTTTCCTTCCCGTTCAGATGTGATCCCCTGATCATGGCTTTCTAGGTCTTCTAGTCCTTCCTCGTCTCCAACAAAACGTCAGCCGCAACCACATAGGCAAAATCCATGCTGATCTGAGCTAGATCTGTAGTAGAGTAGCTCTCTCTCTCTCTCTCTCTCTTTCTCTCTCTCTCTCTCGCATAATGGAAATGGCTAGATCATCTAGCTTCTCGAGCTTGTCAACAGGTAAGTGAAGAGGAAGAGAAGTAGGGGGCAGCCGCTAAATAGGTCATCGTATTTCATGGTCGTCATCACCATCATCCATTCGTTTTCTGTCAGCTGTGACTCGAGAGTCTTATGCAGGATGAGCTAAGGAAGTGTAGAAGGAGTCGGAAGGATCACTGAGAAGAAGAAGAAGAAGAAGAATCTACAGTGATCCTCCTTCATGGAGTTGGTACCAAACCCAGATAGCCCGCATTCCAAGAACAGCGGTGCCATCAGTCCCAGTAGCAGGCGGCAGAACTTTAGCACCACCTCCTTGGCCGCTGCCAGCGCTGGCGGAGCTGCCACCTCCTCTTCCCCTCCGTCGTTAAGCCGCTACGAGTCTCAGAAGCGCCGCGACTGGAACACATTTGGTCAGTACCTCAGGAACCACCGCCCACCGCTCGCCCTCTCCCAGTGCAGCAGCGCCCATGTCCTGGAGTTCCTCCGCTACCTCGACCAATTCGGCAAGACCAAAATTCACACCCACATGTGCCCCTTCTTCGGCCACCCCAACCCCCCCGCGCCGTGTCCGTGCCCCCTCCGTCAAGCCTGGGGCAGCCTCGACGCCCTCATCGGCCGCCTTCGTGCTGCCTACGAGGAGAACGGTGGCAAGCCTGAGACCAACCCATTCGGCGCCCGCGTCGTTCGTCTCTACCTCCGCGAGGTTCGTGAAGTCCAGTCAAAGGCACGGGGCGTCAGCTACGAGAAAAAGAAGCGCAAGAAGCCACCACAACAACAAGAGCATCACCATCCTCCGCCGCCTCCGCCCGCAGCCTGATCTACCTGCATTAGATCTATGTGCGTGCATTAGCTATGTGGTGAGCTTCCCTTCATTCCATTTGGTTGCCATCATCATCATCATCCCTTTATGTGCTCTTTAATTCCCAGCTGATTGAACCTATGAACCAAACTGCTGCTACATATTTAAAAGTATCTCATGAGATGTCGGTTTTGTGCAATTAAATCCATTATATGATCTGAACATTTTGGTGCATTAAAATAGTCCAGTAGCTGCAGTGAGTGGTAGTGCTCTATCAGTCTAGTGGGGGGAAAACAAAAGAAAAGGAGAGGGGGGGAAACAACACAAGTACAGTACGCTCGTGGAGGTAAAAAGCACCAGCTAAGAGGGAGCAACTGCTGCAGAGAGACCTCTGGTCGTGGGGAGGACTCTCCATGAATGGTAAAGAACAAAGAGAGGGATGTGTTCACTATTGTAGTTTTGACTGAAAGAGGTCACTGCGACGGGGTGTACTTAAGATTCTTATAATGGCAATGCAAGCATCTATTTCGCCCACAGCTCAGACCAACTTTTCTTCTTCTTCTTACGGTATCAAAAGCTTAAGTGTGGAGACCTTATAATATCTTGTCAGTCAGTAGTACCCATGTATGGTTTCTTTTCCACACATTTATAGAACTGGGAGTCAGTGCTGCGATTCTGCAGCAACTTTTCAGATACCTTACCATTCATTCTAACACCCATTTTCTTTTCCTGCCTCGCTATCATCTCTCCCTCCTTAGGAATTATCCTCAGCACCGGCCGTGTAGGACTCTTTCATTTCCAAGGTTTCCTTATAATCCACCCCTTGGGCTTGCCGTTCTCGATGTTTTTGGCAATCACAAACGCACCCACCCACTCCGACTTTACACTCGCAGCGAACCCAAAGCTGATCCCAAGGTTGTGATCGAGATTGCCACAGGTATTCGTCGATGGAGGCGTAAGAAAGGATCGAAAACTTGGGGAATAGGCATCCCAAGATTGTGGTCTCACACTGTGTTGCTATGAATGATTGGATGGCATTTAAGACTCCTCCCGCTGGGAGTGTGAGCAGACTCCAATATCTTCTTTTTACACTCCACTCCACTCCACTCCACTCGATGGGAATAGTGTAAGGTGGTGGTAATATATTGATTGCATCGGTGGTACTTGTGCATCTTTAGAAATTCCTCTTCATTGATGAGCATGACCACCACTGAGTTGGCTCTTATACATGGTAAAAACCATGGCGACCTCGAGCAGGAGATACGGCGGGGTTTAAGGTATCCTCCAGATTAGCGTTGAGTTGCATGACCTGCAACTCGCAGGCTTGTTTCTTCTTTATGTCAGTTTACTTGCTAGTTTGAGGATTACTGGATCTGTGACATTGCAAATTCTCAGATGACTTGTCATGCAATGACATGACTTTCTATCTTGGAACCCTTTTTTAGCAAGTGAAATAATTCTTTTTCCTTCACACAGTAAACAACTCTACATTGCAATCAGCACATAATTCATTTTTGGCTTTCGTCGTATGATTCTAGGGTTTCGATGCTAATTGTTGCATCTACATGCAGCAGCAGCTGCTGATAGGTTTTGGTATCAGTATTGCAGATGGTTGACATTTGACCGCTTTGCTTCACTTCATCTGCATGTAAAAGTGATCTTTGCATGGTTTATGCTCCATAGATGCTTCTACAGGAATGGTTGTCATCTTGTGCCATCAGCTGTTGTAGACTACATATTTTAAGGGTAGGAGATCGGAAGACTCGTGCTGTGAATCTATTTAACTGAAAGGTTGATCATTTCAAGGCAGTGATGGATAGATTCTTATAGTTCCCATGTCGTGTTTCCAGATTCTCTTCCTCTTTGGATCATCCAAGTGAAACCTTCGTCTAAGTTTCTAAGGTCGTGTCATCCAGAATAAAATAGTGTGGTAAGATTCAGCTTGTCGAGGTCCTGAGATTGCACCATCCTAGTTTGGATCGAAGTGCAGGTGAGGAGCAAGTCCTCGAGCTCATGCATCTTCCTTTATGGATCTTATCAAGTCTGCCCTAATCATCAGGTATCAATAATGTCTTGGATACTCTAACGACACAGATAAAAAGCAGTGACGAAACATATCAGTCCAAGATCTTGAGCTACACCACTGTAAGATTGATATGGAAGAAGATTAAGGAGTAGTAAATGTCAGGTTTTGAGAGAGAAAGAGCTACAGCTAATTTCCTATTTCTCCTTGTGCACTAGAAAAGCTTATAGTTCTTCTTTTCCTGCATCTAGAAAATGTGAATAGCAACTAGCTTTCCATTTTTAACAGCAGTTGTGCACTAGAAAAGTGACTTCTCCTTTTACAGTGCAAGTATTTTGCTTTTAGCCTCTGATATATTTCATCCAATTAAATGTGCAAAGTAAGAATGGTAATTTATTTTAATTTGTTTGATTTGTTTTCTCTACTACATAAACTCACAATCACAAAATAATGTTGTGCATCTTAGAAAAAGATCACAATTAATGGTTGAGATATTGATCTTATCATTTTTGTCTTCAGCTAGTTTACATGGTTATCCAAATTAACTTCCAAACAGTGCATTTTCTAGTGATTCAGATTTTAAGCCAAACATTTCTTGGTCTCATCTTTTCTCTTCTTCTTTTTTGGATCATCCAAACCGAACTTTACTATAGATGATTCACATGCATAAAAATTACTCCACTACGTTGTTATTTACCATAGTTAATCATGAGAACTTTGATTTGGACCTCTTTGATCCAATTGGAGAGAGATGAAAAGAAATCAATATTGCTGCTCGTATATTCTAAATGGAGATACAGAAGATCGAGACGCAGAATGTTTCTTATTCGAGAAGGTAGATTTGGAATCGACATCGATTTGGATTGTGATGCCTCTCAATTTCGAGTCTGGTGATCCTTTAGATATGGTTTTGTAGCCAAACGAGTGTTCATTTGCGTGCTTCTAATTGAAATCTACATATGCTTGACAACATTTGACAACATATGGTTTTCTTTCCGGCAATTCCTCTACCATCTTCCTCTCTCTACGAGCCTTTGAAGCATTGAATGATGGTAGGAAAGCAGTACAAGGAGTGACTGTTGATCCTTCTATCGTACACACAGTCTATGAACATGAAGACACTAAACCACATCCTTTACTCTTTCAGTCTTCTTCCTTGCCCTATTTAATGGAGTAAAATACCAGTGATGTTAAAGCTAAAAATACCAACATCAGTTCCATTTGATGTGGTGCAATAGTAGCAAAAGAGAGAACAAAGCTTGACATGATCAAGCGTTGAACCTTGTAACACAAGGGTTTATACATATGCTTATTAGGTTTCCAAGCTCAATGTTTTTGATTGTAACTATCATAGCAAATCAGAAGTACAGTACACTCAAGTCTGCTGCTGGGATTAAACCCACGCTCTTCCTTCAGACCGTTGCAAACCATCCAAGTTGCAATCATGGCACACAAATAGAGATAAGAGAGACGAGAGAGAGAGAGAGAGAGGAAGGAGTCACAATCGATCAACACATAGGATGCAACATAAGTGTCCCTCTGGAGAATCTTTTTAGCGTTTCAAAGCCTCCAAACATAAATGGGACAAAATAGAATCAATACTTGAGTGCCAAGTGAATGATTATGGCTAATGATCAAACCATGTGGCAATCGCTGCACTTGCATCACAATCTAAAGCTGTTCACTTTCACGGAAGCTTCCATCGATGAAGAACAATTGATGCCGATGCCTGCCGCGTTCATCTGACCCCCATGTTGCCAATCGAGACTCACTTGAACAGGGAATGCAAGTGAAGACTTGCAATGAAGTCTCTTCAGAGCTTTCTGGCAAACAGTGGAACTGGAGATTGCTATCATACGAATACAAGGAAAACGATAGTCCGCCATGGACATCGATTGTTTCTTTCTGGATCCATACCAAGGATTGTTTCTGCAGATCACTGACTCTTGTGACCAAACACTATCTTCTGCTTGTCACCTACTCCTACTCCTCCACCAGAGGCTCGACCAATACAGCTAACACGTCCTTTTAACCTACTCCCAATCAAGCATGACTGAACCTTTGGCTTCTCTGTCTTCCTCGATTCCTAATAATTTTTCTTCTATTTTATTTTATTTTGTCATGGTGGTGTGTTCATATTAATCGACTAATTTCTCGTTAGCATGATGAGAGGCAAACCACCGGATCCAAATTTTCCATTAATTTTTTCTCTATTATCTATTATATTGATTTGATGATGATAATTATTAGTAGTGACAGCATGTTTTCTCTCGCTGCGTATGGTCACTGTGTTCCCTGGCAGGAGTGCGAGGATGGGGTCAGGCCAAGGCGTGTAGTGGCAAAAGAAGGGGCCTGCAAATTCTTGTGAGCTGATGTGACGCCTCGGAGCACGAGGGCTGCTTCCCTCGATGTCGGCGTTGCCCTTGGCACCAGTGGCCGGCGCCCACACGTCCGCCCCAGGGGAGTGGGCCCCCGCGCCGCGTACGGAGACGCCAGGTGGGGGGGCCGACGTCCCGTCGTCGTCGTCCCCGGTGTGTCAGCGTGTTTCCTGAAGCAGTAAAGATATGGCGGTAGCGGTGGCCGCAAGCCACTCGCCTTGTCTCTCCCGTCCCACTCTTTCTCGGGCTGTACGAACGAACGCTCACGGATTTGACCTCCCTATGCGGGTTGATGTGAGGTGCATTAATTGGCACGGCAACAGGCAATTAGTGGGAGGAGGAGGGTTAGGAAGAAAGCAATCGGACGGTTCTCATTAGATGACATTTCTGCCCAAATTTCTCAGATATTTCTATTTGTTTATCATAATATTGTGTATATATATATATAATTTATGAAATTTTTATAGTAAAATTAACAACGATAAAACAAAAGGAAATTTGCAGAAACTTCAAAGAAGATTAGAAAGAAAGAGTAGAATATATGTTGTAATCATGTGCTGGCATCATCATGCATCCCCTCCCATAGACCAACCCTAAAGATGGTCTCAACCATTAAGTGGCCATTCGGCCACCCAAAAAGACTAGCAATTATTGAACAAGCTTTGTCGGGGTGTATTTTGCAATCATTCAATACCCAATCAAGGATTGGGTATGACATTAGATGGATGGTCTTTAATCTTCAACTATTGTTCGTATTTTTGTGTGTGTGTGTGTGTGAGAGAGAGAGGACATCTTTTGTGGATTATTTAATTATCTACTAATCCATAATATTGATTATAATCATATTTAAATTATTATTTATAATATTACTTCTAGTACATCAATTATAACCACCTAGTTAATATGATATTAATCTTTTTTATTGAGACATCCTACATCTGAGTTAATGTATTGTTACACCAGGTGACAAGTTTCTCGAGTCTCCGTATAAGTAATATTTGTTTTAAAAAATAAATATATTATTAATTAATTTTAAAAACTTAAAATATTAATTTATTCAAAAAATTATAATTACCTTTTTTCTATAACATAACACACTATAGGTCATCTGAAGAAGGTTTTGGGATGCACTAATTATTTGGTTTGGGCTAGCCATC